TCGATTTCATACCTTTGACACTTTGAAGAGCATTATTAGCAGTCAAGCTGCATGTTAGGCCAACATCCTCTGCTCCCTAAATTTAAAGAAAAATATTTCCTAAAAATACTACTTGTGGTGTTACTATTTTTTTGTGCTTTATGCTGCTGTCTACTATTCCTTTCAAATTTTGATATGTGCATAACAATAGGTCAGTTTCTGACTCTGTTCAGTTTCTGCTCTTACAAGTCCCCACAGAATACCAGTATTGCTCACCACTAGTTATTTCACTATTACCAGAGAGCATATTCCTTCTGAAGCAAAAAGAAAGTTACTTCAGCTTGAAGTATCAGAGATCTCAGCTTTTTAATAATATATTAATATAGAAATCTATTATTTCTATATTAATTATACTTATTCCATATATATTTGTATTATATTTTCTATTTATTAGTATAGAAAAAAAATGTTACATAGAAAACTTTTTTCTTGAAGTAAGTCACATTCCTTCAAATATTGGTACAGATAAGCTCATAAATGTGTATACGATGGAAAAAGGAAATGAGGTAGCAGTAATGGTAGTAGTCTGTCACTACTAGCCAAAACAATTTATTAAAATATACAAAAGTGCGAGTGTTTTAATAAACTATCTACTACCAGCACACAGAATTAAAACAACTTGAAAACCAATTTGGCAGAAATTCTGAAGAAAAAAAAATAGTACAATGTCGAAAAGCACATCTGCTAATTTCTTGTGCAGAATGGGAAGTAAAATTTGTTAGATAAATTACTATCTGCATCTAATGCATATAATGCATTACACTCATCTAATTTATTTTAGAATACCTGTATATATAATTTGCCGATAGATAAAATTCATGTCTTCATCCAAAAAGGTGTTCACAGAATCTTTATATTTTGGGAAGAGATCAGAAGAAGAACACAACAGGAAAAAAACCAACAAATTCCATCTTTGCTTTTAGAGACTAATAAAAAGACTATAGATTAATGATCTTATTCAAATCATGCTATTATGTAGAATAAATGTATACAACATAGTTGTACATACATACAACACATCCATATCCATATCCATAACATATACAGTTCCAGCACTGCACTATCAATGAAGCCAATGAACTGTTCCAAATGGGACAGTTGGATTTTTGAAAGGTCCAAATTTATATTTGTTAAAGAGTGTTGGTGTTTAGCTGAAATGGTTTTAAATATCTCTTTAGCAGGCATCTAACTGACGTCTCTCTCCTTCAACTGTATTCTTTTCACATAGGAAGTGACTCCATATTCTACTTCATATTCTTAGGGTTAAAATGTATATGCTTGATTAAGGATTATCAAACGCTACGCTGGAGATAGCCAGGATTAGCAAAAAGAAAAAAAAAAAAAAAAAAAAATTAACAATATCACTCAGGTCAAAAATGTTTCAGTTTTAAGAATGAACTCTTCCTTCTAGGACTTAAGCGACTATTCAAAAACATTTTCAAAGCACTTATACTACTTACATCTTTTTTTTTGTCTTCTTTTTAGAATATATTCTTTTTTCTTAGCAATTTAGTGAAGCTTCWGTCTTTTTTGCTACAAGTATATATAAATACTTTATTTACATAATTCTTTTGTTATTCAGAGACTGTCTAAAAGTGAGAGTGTAGTCTTCTGAAAGATAAAATAACAGTCACTGATAATAAARATACCAGAAGTATATACCTTAAATGATTCTAGCTCAGAGAATCGTAGAGTCACAGAATTATAGAATCGCAAAGGTTGGAAGGGACCTTTAGAGACTGTCTAGTCCAACTGTCTGATTAGGATATGTATCTGTACTTCTTTTGTAGGGAATATTCATCCTTTTTTTTCTAAATTATTTCATGGAAAACACCTTTTTACCTGAATGCATTTGCCATATGCTGTATATATGAAAATCCCACATGCAATACCTAATTCTGTCAGATTGTATGAGCAAGGCACTGTGCTCATGATTTCTCAAAGACACTATATCCCCATTATATTGTCATGTACTGCATATGTCCCTATGGCCTGCAAAATATTTGCCAGCTTCAATTCTTCACTGAATAAACAAGAAATAGGCAAAACATTTGGAAAGGGCAACTAGGGAATCACGCTCAAGTTCCTAGAAAAAGGGTGGGTAGTATGAATCCAAAACCTGCCAAATTAAATTTAAGAGACAAGATCCTTTCACTATAATACTCAAGATTGCTAGGTAGATTTTAAAAAATTGAGGTGGCATATTTCCCCCCTACTTGTTTTTCTGACAGTTCTCCTACTGAGATAACCCAACATCTTTACACAATATAATGCTAGGAAGTCAAAGTCCAACACTCATGACTTCATTCAAAACCTCCTCCTGTCTTTGTATTTTGCCTTTACATTTTTATACGTGTATAAAGCAAGAATGAATTTTGCTTTACACTAATAGACTCAGATTATGTAGGTCCCAATTAAGAGTTATCACTTATTATTTTTCCTCAGCTCCTTATGTGGTGCAGACTGTCACAGMTCCATTTCTTTAATGAAACTTTCATTATAAATGTGTTCTGTTTTCCAAAGTGTTTAAAATCATAATGCTGCAAGTAGGTGATGAGAAAGTTGTTTGAGTTTATATTTTATTATGATGTTCCTATTTCTCAGTTGCAGTGATTTCTCATCCTTTTCCTGTTCTAAAGTATGTTAGTAGTTTATTATGATTGTCTGCATAAGACAGACTATGTGATTTTGCTGTTTTTCTGACTCTTCTGCTGAGAACAGGAGAACATCTTTACACAACATCCTGATAGGAAGGTCATTGTCCAGCACTCATGATGTATTACATATTTAATCTGCATTTGTTTCAGATGAAAATGTCTATTTTCATATAGTCTCTAGGAAAAAAATATTATTTATATTGTGACTAACACCAATTACAATCATTAAAACATGTTTTAATGTGACTCTATAGGCATAGTACTATCATAAAAATAGTAGCAATCTCATATTTTAATGCTGGAAATGTTGATCTATTCTTCCTATTTATGCAACAGAAGAATCATCAGGTTAATTTACAATTYCAGTGTTGCGTCATTTAGTAATGGTGCACAGCAACTAAAACAGGTGAAAAAAAGTGAGACAGAGACAAAGGAAAGAGTGTTGTAATGTTGGGGCAGGGCAGAGCTATACTTTACCCTCTTTAACAGATATAGCCAATAGGGGGAAAAATAAATATTAATGAAAATGCTGATTTCCCAAAGGTCTGATCAGGAAAGTATGCTGAAAGAGATAACTCACCAACCAAAGGAACATACTGCCTGAAAAGCAGATTATCACTGAAGTGAAAAACAAAGACAGCTGACATTAATAATTAACTGAGATGGGTTCCTGGGGAGGCTTAGATGAGCTACAGGCGCTATATATAAAGTCACTTGCCTACCAGATTGTTATGTCCAATTTTGGAGGAGTTCATCTTAACATGTGCAACCTATATTAAGTTCACCYGGTCTAAGTTACTTGGCAGTATAATCGTAATGGTGAATTTTTACCTATATTGAAAGATGCACCTGCAGCACTATAGAAATGAAAACTGATGGGCTACACCTTCAGATTGTTGCAGGAAATATTCTGTCAGCACCTAAACAGATGCTGTTTTCTCACACTCATGTCACTGTGTGAATACATATACGTCTGTCCTTGTATACAAGGGAAGGGTTGTCAAAGTCAATTGTAATTTGAGATGCTCAGAGAGGAGTCAATAAAACGGGAAATAATAAAACAGGAATGTGCTCTTACACTGCACAATTATTTTTTTCTCCAGCTGTGTTGAGCTGCGCCTTTGTACGTGCACTGTGACTTTTCTCACATTTGGGATAGGTATCCAAAAACTGTCTATGCTAGACAACTATCTGTGCCAGGCAGCTAAGCAGTCTGACTATAATCTGGTGCCATTATATCATCCCCCAAAAGAAAGTCTAAGACCCTTCTGTTCTAAAGGAACAGAAGAAATTTTCCTGTGTTGTCTAGTGCTTCAGGAGCTTGTCCTGTGCCGAGGAACTCTTGATGTGGCTATGGATTGCTGCCTTGAACGGCTGAAGGTTCCCTGGTCATGGAGAAGAGGATCTCATAGGCTTCCTATACAGATATGATATATTAAGCGTAGAAAAGGAATTTTAATGTTGTAACTTCACATTCCACCAGTCAAAGACCATCCGTATATATCCAGATGAAACTTTTCATATATATTTTGAACTGGGTTATTGAAAAATCCATGGTGGCGTGTTAATGTTCCTGATATTACTATACAATAGCTAAAAACGAAAAGATCAAGCATATAATAAACTGAAAGGTGGTGAGCAAGTCATGGGACAGATAGTAAGAAAAAATCTGAAAATCCTAAGAGTTGTAGAGGAAAGCAAGACTAGTCTGTTTTAAATAAACAGTAGTTGTTCAAAGGTAGATGTTTTACATAAGRAGTGGAAATAACTGGAATCTCTTTCAACCCGATCTGCAAGTAGTGAAAGTGCCTTAGCTTTGATAGAGCAGGTTGTTCTTTCTATTTTGGTTTCTTTCTTCTCTTTTTTTTTTTTTCATTTTCATTTTAAATGCTTTACAACAAATGTCATCATATTGCTTTTGGGAAACAAAACAAACAAACAAAAAAAAAAATGCACCAAACTCTATGCTTTAATATGCTTGCCATGAAAGACAGGTGTACTGTCCCCTAAGCTGGGCTTTTTCAAGTGTATGAGATTCAAAACTGCAATATCCATTCAGCTTTCAAGTGATATCCGCAAATTATATCCAGAGCACTGTCATAGACATTTCAGCTATTAACACAGGTAACTACTGGAACAAAATTCCTTTGAGGATCTGTCAGAATACCTGCCCTTTTGCATAAAGTGCTCTTTGGGATTAGACTTTTAATTGCAATAGGACCAGCTTTGCCTTTTGGATTGTCTGTCTTATTATTGCAAGATATTTTTAATTTTCCTAATGGAGATTTTTCTTTGTCTCACCAGGCTAAGCTTTAATGAAGAAACGTCAGCGTTGCTAATAACTGCACAAAGAGGGACCGAAGACCTTTGTGACCAATGATGTGGTTGTCATGGAAACTATTTCTGTTTCTGTCACTCACTGGGTATCTTTCAGGTAAAACCAAACAAAACCAAGAAAACTCTGCCTATTGATTCCAGACTTTTTATCTAAAAACAGAAATAGGGAGATGTAAAAGCATTTATATATATATATATAAAGAAAAAAAAAGAGACCATTTCTCTAAATCCTGAAATTTTAAGAATTTATAAAGAAGAGATTTACAAGTGCTTTTACATTTCTAGGTAAAACTGAATAACATTAAGGACAAAGGAAAGATGGAGCAGTTACACCTCTCCTTTGAAAAGACAATGCTAATTTTATTATTAGCAAGGTGAAAAAAATACTTGAAAGGAGGTGCAAAGTGTTTTCCTAAGGACTAACAGCTGATGAATTGCTTGATGATTTGAGGTCTTACCCTGTCCTAGTTTTGCAAAATATTTATCAAATTCTTGTCTTCTTTCTTAAGACAACCATGTACCATGCATTGATTAATCCAAATTTTGTCTAGATAATTCTTTTGCAGTCTTTTTTTCCTGTGACAATAGCTTAGTTGGCATTATCTTTTCAAGTAATAAGATGAGGTGATCRATAATAATTTACGCTTCTCATATGAAAATCCTTGTAATTTGATAGCATATTGTCTCTAATTGATCTTTTTTGCTGACCTATTTTTTTAATGTTGCCTATAACTGTCTGTCAACAGTTTACTCAGCCACCCTCTACTCAGATTATTCCAAAATTTAGTGATTTTGTGACACCATGAGAACAAAATTTGTAATAGTCAATTAAATAGAATATGGAAATTTATTATATTACCATGATATTGGATGTAGGAATGCAAAGAGTCTGTGTATGTGTGTTTGATGCATTTTTAAGTCTTTTTTTTCATGATCTTAGGTATTTTGGTACAGGGAGTGTTTTTCTTTTTGTATTGTATTGTTAGACATGTTATCAGTCTTAGCAGCATTAGTATTTTGGTGATTCTAGAAATAGTGTCATACAACTACCATTTATTTATGTAATTTTAATTTTCTTATGTTGTTGTTGTAGTTTCCAAGAACTTTGATGCAAAATTCAGGAGCATTTTGGAAATTCAGTTCTTGGAATTGGAGAATTATGTCTTCAACATAACAGTATTTATGATTAATAAAGTCAACATTCCTCAGCAGGTCTTACATGGTGAAACTGATGTACCTGAGCCTGCAAATGACTTCATATAGTTGGAATTTCCTTACAGTCTTAGAAGTCAGCTATGTTGAAAAAAAAAATGCATGTAAGTGGTAGAGTTTTCTCTGGATAGAACTGTCTAGTCCTACACCTATTAATGTTATTAACACCTATAAGATGTTGCAAAAGTTCTGCAATTAATTTCATACACTGGAAATTCCGTTTCCTATGGTTCTATATACAGTRATGAGTTTCGGCTGTTGTATCATCTCGGTCATTTTGTGGATGTATCTATTAAACCAAAATCCTGCAAAGGCTTGAGAGCATTTGCTCTCAATGACCTGTATTAACACAGCATTGAAATAATAAGCTACTTCAGAATCTAAACTGAAAGTCAGTCAGTATTTATGTACTAATATCCTGAAAACTGTTGCCAGTCATTTAGCATAATTTTTAAATTAGGTCTCTTGTGTTAATTTTTCACTTACGCCTGACAGTTTCTAAAGCATTTCTCTTATATTTCATAGTTAGAAAAGTAGAGTTCTGAGTTATTATTGTTTTGGTATGTGACTCTAAGATCCTAAAAGGATTATTGTATGTTACTGCAGTAGAATTAGAGTTGTATTAGAAACTGATTTTAACAATTTTCATGTTTTGTGGCATATAATATAATATTACATGCATTTTATCACACACATAAATAACTTTTACAATGATTTCATTAATAACAATTGCTCACTAGCAAATCTAATGCTATACAAGCTGAAATTCATCACATATAACAAACATGGATTCAAAGGTATTTAATTAGATTGTCAACACAGGTAATGTTCCATCAGAATACCTCTCATATTTGATTATATGATTCTGCATTTATAGCTGCTTTTATGTTGCAGCTCTTACTAGACCATGTTTACTATTGCAAATAGTTTCTATAGCTGATGCAGTTTGATGTAACCTGGTAAGTTAGATGCCTGAATGTACCATTAATAAAGATAGGGCAATAGATATTGATGCTGCCTCAGTAAGATAAAGTTCATTCAATTCGTGTTGTTTTGRGCTACGTTAAAATTCAGTACTTATCTATTGAATCATAAGATTATGGGATCATTCTTATCAGCAGCCAGTGTTCAGAAGAGAGTACTACATTGTTGTATTGATTTTGCAGTGGTGAGGGAAATCATCCAAGAAGAAAATGGATGGCCTCTCTAGTTTGTGTCAACTCTATTTTTTTATTATTTTTATCTTAAAGCTGGCCCATGTATTTTGGGTATTGCTTATGCACTAACGTATAGAAGTATGCTTGAGTGATATGGAAAATGATTTATGGGTGGAGAAATAACGCACTTTTTGAATGCTAGACTGAAGACTAAATTATTTCTCTTATTCAAGTTTAATATTTTAGTATAAGTAAAAAGTAGTCTTAGACTATGGATCACAGACATGCTTATATTCTGAGACAGTTCACATGTACCAAGCATTGATACTTATTAGAATCAAAGGAGGTTGTCTGATTGATTAACCATATGCAACCTCTTTTTTTTATATATAATATATGAATATATAAAATAAAATATAATATAATATATGTATATATATATATATATATATATAATGCAGCTTCTTCTCGCAATATATAATGCCTTTCAAGCCATATTGAAGTTGAGGAAGAAATAAGATGTCATTTTTGAACCATGGTCTCCCTCACTTCTGAGCCAATATTGGGAAAAAAAATACTTGTGATTTTTTTTTTTTTTTTTAATGAGGACTTCCTGTAGGAAAAGAGTGTGATTATCAAAGAATCACTCTTCAGAGGAGGTTCAAAGGAGCTTAGCTTGTTGTAACTGGTTAGTTTAGAATCTGAGGCTATTTAGAGTTCAGAGAGGTCTGGCCTAAATTTGAATTAAGTTAATCAGAATTTAATTTGTTGTGGTAATGTTTAAATCTACTGAGAGATAAACAAGAGAGAGAGAAAAAAAACACATAAGTTATATGTTCAGAGAGTTTAAATTAGAATAACAACAAATTTCAAGACTTGCCTTTTCAGCAGAACCCCCTAAAATTATATAAGATGTGGCAGCAAAAATTCTGTCTTCTGGTTGGTACATTCATCAGTGTTTTTCTTGTGTGTAGTCAGGAGATAATGTTTTGGACAGCACTATTCTGTGTGCAGCAGGATTGGTGTGTGTGTTCCAGAGTTGGAGACTGAGGATTTATTGGTCTGGATCCCCATGTTTGCTTTACAATCTGTTTTTATCTGTATAGTAAAGATTGTCCCTTCTGATTCGCATTGCTAACAGCTAAGCAAAGATCTTCTTAGGTTAGAGTTGCTAAGGCCATCTTGCACTGATTCCTCAGAGAAGCTGTAATGGAATATAATTAAAAGGCGGTGTTTTAAAACAGCACTCCTCAACCTTGGAATAAGGCAATTAAATGTCTCTTGGTGTTTCAGTAAGAGGAGAAATATTTTTTAAAGCAGAACATAAATCACATCAGATTATCAGCTCAGGGTTAATGTAGAAAGTGAGGCCTTGGCTTTTATCTGAATACATAAGATATTTGACAAAAGCTGTCTTGAGAGTAGGGCTCCTTGCCACTCCTTTTCATAATTATTGCTGCTTGTGACAAGTTTAAAGATATTTTAAAGATTCCATAATACAGTCAATGGCCTTACAGAGCTCTGACTTTTTTTTAACCTAACATACATATATTATGCTTTTTTGTTCCCTTGACCATATATATTTATCTTCTCTTCCATGTTACTTGTTGCCTGTTAATTGAGGGAAAAAAAAAACATTTTCTCAGTAAGGCTTTATAATTCATGGCAGGAATAAAACTGTGGTATATCCAGAGTAGCAATACCTGTCAGGATGTACACATAACCTCTGAGAGTGTTCATAAAGTTAAGTGAGAAAATATTTCTTTAAAACTCATCTGTATGTTTCATTCTTTTATTTTTGACATTCTCACTGTCAAACAAAGACTCCATAAATAGTGATTTTTCCTCTGTATCCTTCAGCATGGTGCTCAAAATTAAAAACAGCATGACTTTTTCTTAACAGTTGCTTTGCTAGAATACAACATGAATGGAAGCATACTAACAACAAAAAAAAAACTATTAAGCGAGCATATGCAGAACAAACAGAAGTGTCTTGTCTAGTTTTGACCTACAGCTGGCAGTGATTTGGGATGCTTTTATTATGTCCATCCTCTTCCATCTGGTTACTTGGAGGCTTCTAGGAATTTTCTGTCATTTGGACTTATCGCCTTCCAACATGCATTGCAAACCTGCTCAATATGTGACTTCCATAATTCCAGCAACCACTGCCAGGATTAAAATTCATAGCCTACGGTTCATCAACTCATTAACCAAACCATATAAAGTACACATACCACTCTGACTGCCAGGGCTATTTCTCTTTTTTCATTCCTCTCCCTTTTTGGCAATGTCCATCCTATGTGAATGTTGACAGTATGTGAAAGTTTTCTGCCTGCCAAGTGAATGTTTAGTGAATGCATGARTGAGCAGTGTTTATCATTGATAAGCCTATGCAATTGCCTTTTTTTTTTTCCTCTACTGATGACACTATAGCAAAGAATATGGAGCCTTCTCACCTTTGATAGCTGACCATAAAAGATCTAGAGATAAGTACTGCTGCCAGGGGACATTCACATGCTCACTGTTCCTTATCTAATGGAAAAGTCAAAACACTCTTAAACTTCCTACTATCCATCCTGAAATTCTGTTTGCAGTGTACAAAGCGAGAGAAGAACAATTTGTTGCACAGCTGAAATTCAAGGTAGACTACTACCAAGATTTCTGGACTTCATGCTTAGCTGATCAGGATGGGGAGAGCAGTCAAGAAGAAGCAGTTATCTGCTGAATG